TTTGGTCCTCATAGCTCCCATACACGAAGAGCTCTGATTCAATAACACAAGATGACCCACATCTAACACATCACATCCTCCTTTCTTTAAAGGCCAAACAAAAACAGTAAAATGAAAATCAATCAAAACCTATTTCCGCGTGTAGCTGGTTTCAGATGGCCTGCTGACCTGACCTGCTTCTCCTTCCATGAGCTGCCTCTTAGGCCCAGCTGTGACCTGAGTCCATCAGTCAATCTCTCCAGACTGATTTTGTCACAAACCCTGCAGAGTTCACCTCACTGGAAGATTCTGAGGATGTGAGGAGCTACATGTGTCGGTGAGGAGCCCACTTAACCAGGAAGCTGCTTAAGAATATGATGTGCCTGCTTAGGCGCAGGATGAATGCAATGGACCGTTGTCATAGTGCAACACGCCCAGAGGGCTTCAAAGATAGCCTCTCAGGTATTCAGCTTAGAGCTAAGAGCGCTTAATGTGAGAGCAGTTATGTGACATGATTCCTGACAGTGAAGAACAGGAAACCAGGCATAAACCCATGCATGTTTCTAGTGCTGACCTGGCTGCGCCTCACTACACAAGTCCCTCCTGCCAGGTCACCTGCATAGAATATGATTCTTAGCATGTTCTTTCCTGACCCAAATCTGTTGGTGACTATCCTCGGACTGCCAGCCAGGTAATTATCTCACCCTGGTCCTCTGACACATGTCCTGGTGCCTTCCTTCCTTCTCCATCCATAGCGTTACCCTCCACACAGCCCGAGACTGGTCAAACTAGGTCATCCTACTTTGTGTGCACGAGACATTTAAAGCCCATGAGAGGGGTGACTGTATGATTCATGGCTCTGTCCCCAGGACTTAGATGCCTGGTTCACAGTAAGAGCTCATTAAATGCTGGTTGAAGACGGAGGGGCATCCTTCACTATGGCACACATAACAGTGATGATGATAATGACTGCAACAGCCAAACAATGATAACAAGAACAATAGAACAAGAGCCACAGCCAGCGATCGGCCACTGTTCTACAGCCACATGTGCTATCTCATCTCAACCTGTCATAACCTATCACGTCTGCCAGCCTTCTCCCATGTGACTGAAGAGAAGCCAGAGGCCCCTGATGTTGCTGACTGCCTTGTCCATTGATCCATTCAACAGACATTATTGACAGCCTGCCACCTGTCAGGCTCTGACTCCCTGTTGTGAGTGAGGTCCCTCCTTCCCAGGAGCTGATACTCTAGTGCTGGGAAGCAGGCACTTGTCTAACAAATGAGGTGAAGTCAGAAAATGAAAAATACAGCAATCAGTGGTGGTGGGAGTTACTATTTCAGAGAGGGGAGTGGATTGAGTATTGCGACAGTGAAAGAGTCCTGACAGTGGATAAGAATAGGACCTTAAAGCACGGGAGGGAGAATGTTTCAGCAGGGGAAACAGGAAGTGCAAAGGTCCTGAGGAAGGAGTATTCTGTGAAGCCAGCAAACAAGAAGTTTGTCAGTGTGTGTGAGGGGGAAGAAGGTGAGAGCAGAGGGGTGTGGGTTTGGATCATGCTGAGAGGAGAGGACTGGCATGAGCCTGTGTCCTTGGGGAAAGTCAAGGTCATGGGAGCTCTTCATGGAGGAGGAAGACAGCTGGGCTGCTCACCCACGGACTGCAGAGCTTAGGACAGACATGGCCCCAAACTGGAAGGCCCACGTGCTTCCGAGGGATCTGCTGGTGAAGTTTGGGGAGCAGGCATCACATGCAGGGATGGTGGAGCATCCAGGGAGAGGAGACAGAGGGGGAGACCAGGCCAGAGCTGATGGAAGGGACGCAGGATGTGAGAGAAAGAAGGAAGACTGGGGTCACCCCGAGGCTCCTGGCTGAGGACCTGGAGGAAAAGAGGGTGAGATGCTGGGAAGGACTGGCTGAGTGTGGGGCTAAGGTCCTTCTCTGCACAATGGGAAGCAGAAGAGCCAGCAAGAAGAGACGTGAGTTGGTCAGCAGCTGGGTATGTACATCTTCAGTCCCACGAAACCACAAGGGGACAGCATTCTACCTCTCAGAGTTACCAGCACACTGATGGCATCAAAGTGACAGACTGCAATCCTCCCAGGAGCCTGTGAGATCCAGGGGGAGGGGACTGGGTGGGAGATGGAGAGCCGGAGTGACTCTGGGGTGCAGGGAGCTGAGGCTGGGGTGAGACCGAGACCCACTCTCATGGTCTGGTCTGCCTGACCCGTTTCAGAATTATTCTCTGGGGACCATGCTCAGGCGTTTGTTGAGCAAATGAGCCCTGGAGTCATAAAAATAGGCACTGTGAACCCACCCAGAATAAGACACACTGCAGAAGTGTGCCCTCAGTTGTGCCACCCCTGAAGGCAGCAGAAAAATGTCTGAGCAACAACACCCGAAGTATCACTGCCAGCAGGACCCCAGGGTGCCACCTGGTCTGTGGGCTGATAAGAAGCACAGCTGGGTTTAAGAGGGGACAGGACTGGGGCTAGGGACCTGGCTCTGCTCAGCTCTGCTGCTGAGTGGTGTGAGCTTGAGCAAGGCTCTTCACAGTTCAAGGACACCACTGCGTCCCCTTGAAATGAGCACTGTACCAAGATGACCAGGGCCTTCCACATATCGTATTAGACACTGAGGCATGGTTGAGATACCTAGGCTGTGTCCTTTCTCTCTGCCTGAACCACAAGGTCTTAGAGGACAGGGCTCGTGCTTCGCCTCACACAGAAGTCCCTGCAGGCACACAGCAAGCATTTCTCAACTGAATGGATCATGCAGGATGCCTCCTTGCTGGCCTGTGATGGAAACCCCATCTTCCTCAGTGACCTCCCTCCTGCCCACCACGCTCAGCTCTTCTCTTAGCATCCAAGCTCCCTTTATCTCTTTGCTCTGAGTACATACTGTGTGCAGTATTCCCTAGAGCGGTGATGGAAAACCTTTCAGAGCTTTCAATGATAACAAACAGCCTGCTGCAGCATGTGTGCCATACATTCTCCAGAACTGCCTTAGAGCCACACAGGCTCCAGACACAGTTCTGTCACTAAGTTTGTGCCTGTTGATCCTGATGGATTAGAGTTGAAGAACCCAAGCATATGGTCTAAAAATAAACTAAAATACTGGAACAGAACAGTTGGAAAATGCAGGCTGTAGACTGGGGCACCTGTAGAAAGCAGTAGCTGTCTCAGACAATGGAGACTCATGTGCTAAACTCAGATTTGTGTGCAGGAATATCAAATCTCTCATATGCAGGGGTCGTGCATTGGAGGGGTGGGGTGGAGAAGATATTAGTTGGCAAATGGAAGAGGTGGTGGTAGGCAGGGTCTGAACCAGCAAGGAGAAAAGTGGGGGAACCTGTACTTGGGTGGCGCCTTTGTTGGGGACAGATTTATAAGTGACCAACTCCATGCCACAGTTGTGACATGCTTGCTGGGAGTTGGGGTGGGGGTAGAGACACTGACAAGCACATCCACAGGCAGTGGAAGCAGGGTGCTGATGGCCCTGGGGGCTGTGTGTCCTCCTCTGCCTCTGTCTCCAGCTTCTCCACCTGTCTCTCTGACCAGCCTTCAAGGACTGTGGTGAACCATTAAGGGCTCTCTCTTCCCTTTCACACCTGGCCTTGTGGTCCCAGTGTACCCTGGCAGGTCCTGGTTTTTAGTTCCTTTAACCCAGCTTGAGGGTCTCTCATTTTTGCCTGGCCCCTCACCCATGTACTGAGCCTTTTGAAATGAGCATTTACAATTCTTTGGGATTTTTGGCTTCCCTATGTTGTAGATTTCCATGATGAATTAGATCTTTGTTAGCTTTAGTTCTGTTTCTTCCTAACTCATCATTTCGCACATTTCCACTGTGGTAGATGCCCATAGCTTGAGAAGAGAGGTGGGTTTCTCCTGAGGGACAGCTGTTCCTGGATGCTAGCTTGTCACACAGGATCTTTCTGGAGTGTCCTGTTAGTCCATGCCTGTCACAGGACTACCCAGAGGAAGGCTGCAGCCCTGTCTCCCCTGTACCCCTTCTCTCCTCACCTGTTTCCTGGTTGGGTCTCAGCCACTTGGCCCCAGGCTTCTTGAGTGCCCTTTCCTGACCAGCACCCTAAAGTGTACAGTTTCTCCTCCATGTCAGAGCCGTAGCTTCAGAAAAGACCCTTAACCACCTCTTCACTGTAATTTCTAAGATTGCAAAATTAAAAAAAAAGGAAATAAAGTCTATGTAAATAGGGAAGGGTGGTGGGGGTGAAGGGCACACAGGTAATGGGGGAAAAAATAAGAACTAAGATACATCATGTTCAGGTACAAACACCCAATGATAAATGTAAATGTATTGTATACCTAAAATGTACCAATTAATATATAAGTAAAAAAAAAGAGAAATGTAATACTTCACAGAGATGTTGGGAGAGTCAAAACAAGTGTAGAGCCCTGTAAAATTTATTGTCTTTCTCATAAAAGACATCATGACGATAAAGAACAACTGTTTCCTCTACGCCCACACCCTCCTGTGACTGGTTTCCAGGCAGTAAACATGTCTTTAAAACACCATGCAGACTAATAACTGACAGATTTCCTGAATGCCCCCCCCGAGAGGGAGTGTTTGAAGCAGGTTATATGTCATCTTGTGTAACCTCCACAAGAACATCACGTGGTGGAACTTGCTTTCACCCATTTCACAGATGAGGAAAGCCAGGTGCAGAGAGATGGAGGATGTGGCCAGGCCTGGGTCAGAGATGCGACCTGGGAAGCTGCCCTAAGCACACAGAGCTAATGCTTTTGCTGCACAGTCTCATTCACTCACAATCCATGTGATGTGATATGAAAACAAACCAAGGTGACAACTGGCCACAAGGAACAATCATCACATGGAAACTGTCATGTGACTAAAACTCATTTGCATTCTTATGGAAATGCTGTGAGTTAAGATCACTTAGGCATTAAGCTTCAAAATTCACACCTACCTGCATGCTTTGAATGGTGCTGACCCTTAACTTGTCGCATGGCTGAGCCCCCCAGGTCTGGCAGAGGACTCACCTGAGCTCAGTGCGTGCCCCACCTCTTGCATGATCAGGAATGGGGTGGTGGTCTCCGGCCCACAGATGGCTTTGCCAGGCTGAGCATCCTGGGCTGTGTTCTCCTTGGGCCCCGGCTCCACTGTGGCATGGGTGGTGGCTGTATGGCCGAAGCTGGGCTCCTCTGCTGGTGCGGTGGGAGCCCTCGGTGGCTGTGTGCTGGGCACCTGGGAGCTGTGGTTGGAAGGGGCCGGGGCAGAAGGAGCTGGAAGTGGTGCAGTTGACAGGTTTGACGGGGAAGAGGCTACATCTTGCTGGGATAGGGGTGTGGGGGACTGCCACCCTGTGGCTGGCATGCTGGCCCCGGGACCACCCAAGCTGTGTTCCTCTGGTGTGAGGGCTGAGGAGACCCCACCAGCTGTTGAGGAGAACCCAGGGAGTGAGGTGTCAGGGTCAGTGTGCTGCTGGCTGGGATCTGGGCTGACGATTGCCTCTTGGGTGGGCTCAGAGGAAGTGTTCTTGGGGAGCAGTGTCAGTGTGGCCGCTGTGGTGACAGGGAGTCCCAAGGCATCCTGAGTGCTGCTGGCCAGGGACATTGTGGGAACAGCAGGGCTTGATGCAGAGCTGGTCCCGAGGGCAGCCAGGGAGGTGGCTTTGGCCGGAAGAGAAACAGGTAAGGTTGGCCCGCTCTGTGCCCTCAGTCCTGTGAAGGAGACAGCACAGGGGTTAGTAGGGGAACCCACAGAGCGGCGACAGAAGCAGGTGACACCCGGCCACTGTCTCACAGTATTGTCAGAGGAAGTCTGCCTTTTGCACTGTACTCTCCTCGGTTGTGAAGGTGATGTTTATAACACGCTCTTCCACCAACTCCTTTGCCCTTGCTTGGCAAGAGAGAGAGGAAGAACAATTCTTGGGCCAGCAGCTCAATCCTAGGTGAGTGCACTTGTCCTGTGCCTGTTTGTTTACATCAGTGTCCTGAGAGGTGAGACCCCTCTAGAGGGACCTGGCTCCCTGGACTTCGGGTGTCAGCTCCACGGCACCCGCAGGGATGCAGAGGAGTGCATGGCTGGTGGCATATGTGGTGACTGATACAGGGGCTATAACTGCAGGGGACTGCAGTCCTGCCCACCGCCCACCAAGCCAGGGAGCTGAGAGGTTGGCTGTTCCCTGTCCCCTCTGCTCAATGCACATAGGCTGACTGGCAGCTGAGATGCATGCATATGTGAACCCATTTCCTACAGAGCAGAAGAGTGGGGTGTCCCAGAAAGAAACCCAGGAGGAGGAACCCCAGGTTTAGAAATATTCTGAGACAGGAATCCAGTTCTTTGAAATTCTACGAGGATATTATTTTGCCATATTAGTTTTTATGATCATATTATTTTGCCAAAGGTTCTCATACATAGTTTGTAAAACTTAGAGCTACTTTATTTTCCTCTCTCACTTCATTTATTCATTAAGTTTCACTCATTCTTTTGTTGTTTAATAAATGGCTCTCTGAGCTGGTCCTCTGGAGACCTGGGACTCAGGGCTTATTTTTTGAGTAACACATCATTGATTGGCTCTGTGCACCCCTTTTCTTTCCCCAGCTAACTTTTTCATCTCAGTGAATGGGACCCCCATCCACCAGGATGCTTGTTAAAAACTGAGCTGCCATCCTTCACGCACCTGTGTCCCTCACACCCTACATCAAATCCTCCAGAGCCACAAAAATACAACCCCCCATCTGTCTGCATGTCTGGGCCCACGGTCGCCTGCCTGGATGGTAGCAACCATTCCTCAGGTGGCCTTCTGGTTTCCAGGTTGCCTCTCTGTGTCTACTGTCACAGACAGCAGGGAGGTCTTCTCATGGCAGAGCAGGTCATGTTCTTTGCTGTCCGGAGGACTTCTAGGGTGTCTTGTTGTACTTACAACAGCCCCAAATATAGAAAATAATTTTACACAGCTCTTTGTCCATTTTTTCAAAGACTAAAAAAAAATTACTATGGTAAAATCTATATAATCTAACAGTTAGCATTTTTACCATTTCACACACACAGTTCAATGGCACTTAGTATATTTGAGTTGTGTAAACCATCACCACCATGCATCTCCAAGACCTGCACCTTCCCCAATCTGCTTACTCCATTGTCTGTCATGTGATGGATTCAGGGGTGATGGAAAGTTGTGCTGCAGAGTAATATCCTGAACTCAACACTGGGATTCTCATGAAAACAACTGGTTTTATTTTATTAAAAAGAAGTTCACTAAGGGATAGAAGTATAGCTCACTAGTGCAGTACTTGTCTTGCCTGGTACGTATGACGCTTTGGATTCAATCCCCAATATGAAAAAAAAAAGCCTTAAAAGGAATTGGTCAAGACCATGAACTATAAGAGAGTTCTTTTCCTTTCCTAGTAAACTTCCCAACTTAGGCTACTTAATATTCCTGCTCTTGTGGTCTTTTCACAGCTGTTCTTTTGCAGTTTCAGGATGAAAAAGATCGAGAAATCCTTGACATATGGACAAAACAACGGATGAATCAAATATTTTTGAACACTGGATCTTCATATGTGATCACTGGAGCTGTGTCCTGGCAGCTTCCACAGGTGGTTAAGTATTCAGACTGGAAAAAGTGGCAATGTTTAACAGTGCATAGCGTCACATTTGGGAGATAGAGGCAGAGAGTGCTTCAGTTAGGTAGCTGGGTTGGAAAATTTCTGAAACTGTGAGCTAAATCAGGAATTGCAAAAGAGCACCAGTTTGTTCATTCACTTATTGAGCAGCTTCTATGTCCATGGGGCCATGGCTTTGCCTTCAGAGAATTCGCTCTCTAGAAGGACAGAAACAATGTCTAGTTTTCTCCAAGTTGATGCGGATGTGTTTATAAAAGTAGGACCAAGTTGCAGTGGAAGCTCTGGAGGAAAGATTAAAAATTTTGCAAGGGAAGCATAGAATGTAAAAGATACACAAATGTCATTTCCAAACGACATTTAGGAAAGTCATAGAAGAAGCGGTATTTGAGTTGGTTCTACAAAGAAAACAATGTACATGATGCTGCTTGAAATCGGTGTGCATTGTCATTCTCAGTGGAGATAAAAGCTCCTTATGGAAGTCATTTTGATGCTAAAAATGGATGCTCCAAGAGCTGGGGTCGAGGCTGGAGATGCTCATTTCCTTGTTAATTCTTACTAATACTTTTATACTTTTCCCAAGCCTGCTCCCAATGAGGACTAGAAATGATATTTCCCATGGCCACACACCGAGCAATTTAAAGCACTTTGCAGTCAAATTCAGCCAATCTCTATTCCTCACCAACCAACAGTGTGTGACCTTGCTGGTGATCATCCCTTGGCCAGGCTTTAGGAACCCTGGCTTTGCCTTACTGATGGCACCTTCCTGTGCCAGTCTGCTGGAGGGCGGTTTCTTTCAGCAGGAGGATGGTCAAGGCCAGGGCACCATGCCTGCCGTAGAGAAAGTGGGCTGTCTTGGCCTGCTGGGCTACTATAGCTAAACCTGATAGGCTGGGAGCTTGAACAGGCATTTATTTCTCACGGTTGTGTTGGCTGCAAAGCTCAATAAGATCCATTCGGTTCTGCTACTGGGGGGCCCCCTTCACCCTACCAGCTATGTTCCCATGTGGCCTTTCCTTGGGGGACTTGTGCTGAGGGAGAGAGAGCAAGCTCTCTGCTGTCTCCTGTGAGGGCACTGATCCTTCCTGAGGTCCCACTCCAGTCACTTCCTCTGACCCTAACTATCTCCCAAAGTCCACTCCTCCATGCCCACACTTGGGGGCCAAAGCTTCGGCATCAGAATCGCTAGGCCATTCTGAGGAAGTATGGCTTCTGTTCTCGCCTATGCAGGACTTGTCCTTCCACATGAACACCAAACTAAGTCAGTCTAACAGGCAAGGGTGTATACTTTCCTCAGATTTCAAAAACATTTCAGGTCTAGAGAGGGCCTCGGTGGTGGCTAAGTACAACCTCTCACCTGCAAATGAGGGAACAGACATAGAGAGGGGGAGAGAATGTGACAGACTTCACACACCCAAGAGCTATGTCTGCTTGGAAGACCACGCAGGGACCTTTTTCCAGCAGCCACAGTGACAGAGTAAGCAGAAGGAGCCCATGGAGGAAGGGAAAATGTGTGGGGCCACATGTACCATCCCACCCAGAGGGAGCCATGCACTTCAGAAAAAAGAATTTGCTTTAAATTTTCCTTAAGAAAATGGAAGCTAATGAAATGAAGAATGGAACCCATTCACTTCTTCCTCAGAGGTCAATGAGCATGGTTCAAAGCAGAGTGACATTGCCAGGGACCATGTGCCCTGCCTGGGAAGGGACAGGTCCACACCTGTGAGGGGCTGACTCCAGGAAGGAGGCCTCAGACTGAGCCCACATGGGAGGGGGAACCTGATAGGATTTCCTCGGGAGTAGACAAATGGCAGGCCTCCTGTAAGTTTGATCCAAGGTGAGTGTCTATGTGGCAACCATAGCCGACAGGTTGTTGCTCTAAAGAAAACCCGATTCTTAGCTGGATAGAAATGATTTGTTTCTAAGTATACTGTCCTTCAGGGGACACTAGAATCACTGTTTACATCTCTCTGATATCTGAAGAGCTTGTGTTTGGCTTGGGTGCCAGGCCCTTGCCTTGTTAAGAGGAGGGACTGGAGGCTAAGGCCTCAGACAGGCAGGCAAACCCTATGCCTGGCCGTGAGAGAGCATGGGTCAGCAGTGCCCTGAGCTCTGTCTCCTTTCTCTAAATGGTATGAGCAGCAACCAGGGCCAGTGCCTGGGTCCCCTTTGAAGCGCTTACCTGGATTGTTCCCCTGTTCTGTTTTTTTTTTTTTTGGTACCGGGGATCGAACTTGAGTCCTCAGCTTGCGAGGCAGGCGCCAGAACCACTGAGCTAAATACCCGGCCCCCCTATCCTGTTTTTAACCCTTGGCCTTATCCTTCCCTGCCTTCTTCTCTCAAGGACCTGAGGAATCATGTGACACAGCTTTGACAAATTTGGTAAAACTTGATCAAAATGCACTGGGCCCTTTCCTGCTGTTAGGTGCACTTGCAGCCTGTGGTTTCTGGGTAGAGGCTCTGGGTCCATACAGATCTGCCGGCTAGGTGATCTTGCACAGGGACTTCACACTGCACCCACCGGGTGAGCTCCTGAAAAGGCCACTGCATTCACACACATACATGTATTCCACACACATATGCAGACACTCACCACACATACAGATACACATGCCCACACATATACACACAGGCACACACCACACATGCGCACAGACACGTGCACACAAACACCACACACATGCACACATACACAGACGCACAGGTGCACACACCCTTCGTGAGTGCGTGAGATGAGAGTGTAGACCAAGCACCCTACATGCACCACCTCCTCCATTGTCACCTGACCTCAGGATGTGGCCTCATTACCTTTGTTCTAGACAGGATTAGATAGAGGCTCTGCAAAGCTAAGTCCCTTCCCCCAGGTCTCAGGGCTGGTACACAGCCCAGTGGAGCTGGAACCTGGACTCTGGCTCCAAGTTTGACCTCTAGGTATCCGCTCCATGCCACTGTGATGGGAAGCACAAGGATGGCTGAGGTCGGGCTCCATGTTTGTAAGGCGGCCAATCCTCAATTTTCCCGTTTCTAGTGTGAGCCTCTAGAGTGATCTAACTGGAGGGGCCCATCCACCCCTCAATCCTCTCACTGGCTCCCTA